GTGTTGTGGTTACTGTTTTATGGTGCAGGGGATCAAACCCAGGGTCTCACACACGCAAACCTATTTCTACTGTGAGCCCCATCCTCCAGCTCAAAACTAATGTTTTTTAACTAGCATCATTTCCCAGAGTCTCAAACTTATTTAAGCATCTAAGTTTAAATAAACATCTGCAGTTTTGTCTCCAACATGTGTGCTTTTATTTTTAATGAAAAATATATGAAAGATGAAAGCTAAAGAAAAATGTTACTTCCACCAAAATGGCTCTACTAAACTTCACTGAAAGTGACTCTTTTTCATTAATCTTTTTCAAAGAGAAGAAATCGAATAGTAGTGCTGATTTGGAATGAATCTCACACTGATTTTTCCAAACTACCCAGGTGTGAGAAGTTGAGTGGGTTTTAAATGAACAAGTATCTGTGAATATGTAATCATAGAACTCAAAATTTAAGTGGATATCATTTTACTGAGACTTAAAATCTATTCTAATGAAGCAATTTACAAAACAAATGTAAAACTTGTCAAGCCACCCTTGCTGTATATGAAGGTTCACTGCACAAATGCCAACGTAGAAATAAGCAGACAGTAACAATTTACTATTTGAACAGTTCTGAAAGCATTGTGCTGTAATGGGAAAGGCAAGAAGAGTTTAGTTCCTTCAATAAAAATGATGATTCTCTTTCTTTGCATAACTGAGCCCTGAGCTTGTTTCTGCCACTGTTGCTAAGGACACTTGCCTGCCAAATAGGAAATAATGGTGATGAAGACATCAAATAGCACACATATTTTACTCAAAAACCAAGGGAACTGGGAATAATATGTGTTAGGAGAGTGTAAGAGTAAGAGAAGAGAAAGAAAAATAGCAAACAAGGGAATACATGAGTGAAAAAAATATACAAAAAAAATTAATTCACACTATGAAATTCCAGGTGGCTCACTTTCAAACCAACAATTATTTCACTGTTCTGGGTCCTATCTCCAAGTTTCTTTTGAGCTATACTCCTATGAATTATCACTGCCAAGATTTATCCAAAGGAAAAGTTATAACTATAAAAAAGTGCAATAAGCAAGAATGTGTAAGCCACTCGCCAACTTCTAACAATTTTGTACAACTTTTTACACAGGCACAATAGACATCAGCAACTATCTTTTCACCTTTACTTTAAACATTGGGCTAATTCTGCAATTAGTATTTCAAATAGGGTACATCTACAAAAAGCTGTTTCTAGTTTAAATTATTGAGTTATCAATCATGCAGCCATTGTGTACCATGAACTTTGCGACATGCTCTGCAGGTAAGCTTTGGGTTGGACCACAACCGCCACCAATAGAACTGACAGAGAGTCAAGGCAAGGTGCACGGAAAGGCAGCGACCGCCAACAGCAGCAGCTGGCTTCTGCCAAGGGAATTCTACTATGAACTCTTGCACAGCCAAAGCACATTCTCTCCTCTCCGGAACCACTCCACAGAAGTACTTAATGAGCTCAACATTAGAACCTCTTAAATGCTTCACTAAAAGGAGTCACCTACATCTCCTATGTGAACTGCCAGAGTTGAGTTTTTATTTTTTTAATTTGTTACACTTTGAACAAGTTAACCTCTCATTTAAGTAGAAGAAACCACAAGACTGACTGACATGAGATTAAGTCGGTTACCTGGGAAAAGTGCGCAGAATTACCAAGAGTCAGAATATGATGACACCAAACCATAGACCTTTATTTTTCTGTAATTCTTTGCGGGGGGGTGGGGTGGGGTGGGGGGATAAAATGACTACCTTTAAAGAGATAGGAAATTGATTAAGAGGTGAAAACTTTGTAAACTAAGCATTTCATATCTTAATAACAATTTGTGATGACTTAATAAATCCACAACAGTAGACAGCTATTATTCATAGTTTCCCCTTTTTGTTGGAAAGCCATAGTAAATAAAGTTTTGGAGACCAAGGCTTTTTCCACAAGACAGCAACTTACAAAATAATTTTTAATGTAGTGGTTTAACTTGTTTTGTTGCAATACCTGGTGGTACTCAGGGTTTACTCCTGGCTCTATGCTTAGGGATCACTCCTGACAGGGAGGGCTTGGGGGACCATCTGTGGTACCAGGAATCAAATCCCCAGGTTGGAGTCAAGAACTGCACCTAATCTATTGTTTTCTAGCCCCGGAGTAATAATGACCTGCCAATCTAGATTTTGTTTGTATCGTGACCAAATTTTAGTTTTTGCTGGTGATGTGGCTCAATGGTCCAATGTGCTCCTGGTATGAACGAGACCTAAGGGTCATCACCAGCACCACACACAAACACTGACACGCACACCAATTTAAGTTTTAATTCTTACATGCCTGCACAGGACTTGGAAGCAGGACTTCTTCTACCTTCTGAAGCAAAAGTACATAGCTAATATTATGCACTTCAGATATATTTATATCTTTAAAAGATGCAACATAACATTTCCCTGGGAAATTGGGGAGTCACAGCCATGCCCTGTGGGGAGGGTACTAAACCACACTTGGCAATGCTCAGGGATCACTCCAACCACGACTTAGGGGCTGTTCACTGCAGAAATTAACAACTATCTACAGTCATACAGACACCTAAGAGTCAGGAATCATAAGTAATCGTCTAGTTTAGAACCTATTAAGTTCTATGAATTTCTTAGCATCTGAGAGTCATCTTCAGATACAGGGCCTGGAACCTGCCATCTAAGGCAGATTCTGAGCTAGTTAAGCTCACTAATGCTGCTTTCTGTGAGGACCTTGCTAGTGAAGGGCTTTCCCCTATCTACAACCTCGACATTGCTAAATTCTTTCCAGTTATACTTCGATGAGTTATTTGGAATATTTGTAAATTGTCTAAATGGAAGTCTACATACGTTTTATAAAAACAAAAAGGTTTTCTTGTTGGAAAATTAACTTTCCCGTACTCATATACTTAATGATAGGAACAACACAAAGAAACCTTTCCAACTTCATATTAAAATCAACATGTCCTAAAAATGACTCATCTCAAAGGGATAATCCACAAGGCATTTCTATGTACAAGGAAAGCTAGCATTCCCAATATTCTCTTGAAGACAGTGGACCCACATTGCATAAGAAAGTCTCTTAAGGGAGGTCAGTTTTCTCCCCAATTTAGTTTGCAAATACATAAACAGATGTCAAGAGGCACCAGCTGTTTAGCTGCGTCACCTAAAACCATCTGCTACTGTTGAAATCCGGCTGAATACCAGACAGAGCAAGAAGGGTTATGTCCAGTTCACTAACAGACATTTTCTTTCATGAATCCTTGAGAGCTCTTTCATCCCAGCAATGCAAATTAAAAAATGAAGTTTTACGTTAAAAAAAAAAAAAAAGACTAAACGGGATTAAATTGATTGATGCCTTTCTCTAACCTGAAAATCTGGTTCCTTATAAACTCCCAGTATCCTTCTCTCTAAAGAAGTCTTGCTCAAAACTGAGATCTAGGGGATTACAGAGCATGCTCCAATAGAAAAACTGATAAGTAATTTAGAGAAAGTGAGGAGGAATTTCAAGAATTTGTAATGTATACTCATTCCTTCATAGTGAAATTTCATAAATCAGCTCGGGCCAATGCTACACTACGCCTTGGGCTTTTACAAAAATATTAAGCTTTGTTTTGTTCCCAGGTCCTAAGTGTAATATAAACTTAAATTTATCTGTAAGGTATGTTAGTTAATTTGACCTGGCATAGAGTAAAATATATCAATTTTATCAGTAGTAGAAATATTCCTTTAAATGTTAGAATTATATAAGATAATCTAATTGGAAAAATGAGAAAATAAACAATTGTAAAAGACTGTCCGAGTCTTTATTCCTAAGAGAATAGCATATCTCAAGAACAAAATAATTATTGAAATTCATTTTGAATTTAGTCATCAACAGATGTTAAAACTGCTGTTATTATTAAGTGTATTTTTTTTGTTGTTGTTGAGGTTTTGCTTTTTAGAAAAGAAGATAAAATTTTTATGGTGGTACCAAGCTCTGGCCTACCAACATTCCACTGACTCAAATAACCTTAAAATCATATCTTTTATGAAATCAGCATGCATGGTTTAAAAAAAAAAGCCTTTCCTTCTTATTAGAAGCTATAAAATAACTTCAGAAATAGAACTGTGTATAACTTTTCTTTGAAACAAGATCTATAGTCCTACCTCAAGAGCTGCATTTCAAATCATCAATCATCATTTCAAGACTGGTGAACTTGAAATATTAAATTCCTAAATTGATTTTCATCGTTCCTATAACATCTGCAAGATGAAATAGACATTTAACATCTTAATATATATGTTGCTTTTTGACTATAATTTCTTTCACTTTCAATAGACTGACGTATAAGGATTCATTAAAAAATAAAATTCTTATCCTAAATGTTTCACTAAAGGTAATAAATATTATAGTCAGGTGCTCAGACACTATAAGTTAGCTATAATAAAAAAATTGTATTGTTGTTTTTACTACCAATTCATTACAAATACATTTGCAACACTGTGCAAAGTGTTTTAGTTATTATGACTAATTATTTTGCAGTGTGATAAGAAAAAGTTCAATACAGTTGGAAATTTTAGTTTCTTAAAAATGTAAACCCACATTTGGTCATATCAGTATTATTAAAGAGTAGTTTTTAAGCCTGAGAGAACTCTAAACTGTCCTTTCTAAAGATGAGTTGGTATTTATAATACAGACATCCACTAAAGAAAAATCAAAGTTATAACTTCCATGCATCGCTTTCTCTAAATGTTAATAAAGAAACTAAATGTTAAACTGATTCAAGTTATCTATAATAAAAATGGGAAATCAATTCATTAACTTGTACTCGTGCTTAAAAATAAATCATCACAAAACAGGCAATTTCCTCCCTATGTGATAAAGATTTCAAAAGTAAAACTAGTGTTTCTCTAATCAATAGAAAATAATACATACTTGGTAACAGTCAAGTCTAGAAGAGAAATAACACAAAGGGAGCCAGCTAGGTTTCAGGTTAACGAGTGACAAGGAAGTGTCTTTTTATTGTTATTGCCTCAGTAGCTGAAGCATTTATTTTATCCCGCTGTTGGCCATCGTCTGAGCTCGGCACACGCCCTTCCCTTTCACCAGGAAGGGTGCTCCTTTGTAAGTAGCCACACACTCCGCGTTTGTGTGAAGATCAGGCTGGATCTGCTCCCAAATCTTCTTCTTGGGATTGAGCTCCTTGTCAGGTTCTCCTATTAGGGGGAAAAAATACAATTAACATCCAATTAATAAACCGTCCAGAGAGACTTCTAGTGTCTTGGTTAACAAATCCTGATCTTAAGAAGAGATCAACATTTTAACACTGTATTTTTTTTAACATCAACAGTTCATATTCTGGTGAAATAATAATTTGTCATTTCTAGAGAATGTTAAAGTATTTTCCCATGGGAGGCCCCAATATATTATCTCTACTATCATCATAATTATTGGGACTCATAAAAAAGCTCAATGAATCTATTTCCAAACTAGAGAGATAGCACAGCGGTAGGGCGTTTGCCTTGCACGCAGCCAACATGGCCGACCCGAGTTCGATTCCTCCGCCCCTCTCGGAGAGCCCGGCAAGCTACCGAGAGTATCTCGCCCGCACGGCAGAGCCTGGCAAGCTCCCCATGACATATTCAATATGCCAAACACAGTAACAACAAAGTCTCCAATGGAGACGTTACTGGGCCCGCTCGAGCAAATCGATGATCAATGGGAGGGCCTTTACTTTTACTTTACTTTTACTGCAGACTTATTGTACTATTACATATTACATATATATACTATTACATATATAAGAAAAAAACAGAAATGGGAGCATAATTTGATATGTATTAGTTTTATGTATGCCAGAAGCAATTCATGCTTTACTATATATTTCAAAGTACAAAATAAATTACTAGCTCACTCACATTATGTCCAAAAGATTCCTTATTAATACTGGTGCTGTTAAGCATTCTAGAAGGTGATGACTCCTATGGGTTTCTGCTGTCCATTGCACTTGGGGCCATACAGAGCCCCCGAGGAGACAAGGACTAGCACTTTCTAAATACCAGAAATACGTATTGTTGCAGCAATTCACACAACTATTATACATAAATCGAAACTGGGGTCTAGAGAAGGTAAGCTGTTCAAGTTATCAACTTGGACCAGGATTTGATACCAAAGCGCACGATCAACTGCTTCCTGGAAACCTTATGCTTTAGGAAAGAACCAATTAATCCTCCTATGCGTGAGGAAAGCCACGCACACCCTCTCTGAATAGTGCTCACACTATAAAGCTACAATCAGAATACAAATACATTCTAAATTTAATCTGTCAGGCTTACATATAACCAATATACCAAGCAATCTTCTATGGAATAATAAGAAAGTAAAGCAAAGCTTAATGTAACATTCCCGGGGCTAGAGATAAGACTAAATTTGAAATGAAGAATCAGTTCAACAAACAAATTGCATGCTCCATTTCTCTAGTTATTTGTCTTTTGATTTCTTTTTCATCTTATGAAGTTCTTTTTTTTTTAATATAAATGATCTTTATTCTCCATCTGCCAAGCATCCTTTCTCTTCCACTTCAAAGATACTTGAAACTATGTCACACACCATGAATCTTCAAGTCTTTAAAGGATTTTATCAGAGAAAATCAGCAAAATGAAAGAAGATTCCTTTTTGATTATTAAAATAATAAGTTTTAATTTTAAAGAGTTTTCTCCATACCCTAAAGTAAAAGCACATGCAGGTATATTATTAGGTAGGCTCTAAGAATGGTATTTCCCCATCTCAGAAATTGAATTCACAGCAATTCATTTGTTCTACAGTCATATCATATGCCTCTACTGTGCAGGTATTAGATATGTAATTAACAAGACAAAATTGCTGTTTTACATAACTGGTGCATTTCTGGTGCAGATGTTAGTTGAGCTTAATATGCCATACACTGAATTGATGTTAAACTCAAATTTTACGAGCATTACTTTGATTTAAAAGAAAAAAAAACTTACATAATGATAATAAACACTTACCAGGGAAAGCATCAAAAGTGATTCTGTCTCCAGGGACAGACCCATTAGGAGGAGCCAAGATCTCGACTTTCTCTGGTGAGCTGGCGCACATCACCATGGCCTGAGACAGCACTCCCCTCATTTTCGCAGGTTTGAGGTTACAAAGTAAAACCACCATCCGATTTTGCATCTATGAAACATAAGCTGGTGACTAAAGAGAGACACTCATAAAATGAGCATTATCACTATCACTTGTATGTCTAATATGCTAAACTTATCTTTGTCTACGTATTCCAAGCTTCCTACTGTTACAAAGCCATACATGAAAAAAAAAAAAATTCCAAGAGCATTGGAATTAAAAGAGCTGACGTAAAATACTCAGTGTTCTTAATACTCACTGAACAACTCACTAAATATGACCAGAGATTTGGGTCTGAATTTCAGATGCTCTGTATTAGCAATAGAATTATAAACAGATAATCTTACCTTTACCTCACAAAATAAAATGATATTGAACTTAAGGAAATGTCACAAGGATTAATCATAGCAGGCATAAAAAGTATTTAACATAGATTTGCACTAAAATAAGTTCACATTACTGTAACCATGTGAAACGGTAACAAATATATATATATATTTTTAATAACTAAAAGCACAAAAATTTTTTTATATGTATTTGGTAATTTTCAATAATAAACAAGATTCAATGCCTAGTTATTTAACAATTCAAGCATTATTTATGTTGTAGGCTATTTCTATAATTTGTTACAGAACTGGAAAAAATTTTATTTAACTGTCAAAAGTTGGTGTGTCTAGAATAAGGAACAGTTATTAAAATTATTTCAGTAGGTTTAAAATAAGAGGCAGGAGAATTAGTTCTGCAGGGGAAAAAATTAAAAAGAAGAAGCGCCATAAAAGATGATTTTATAAATGTTATGTGCAAATTTATCTCCAATTTTATCCCAAAATTATACAATTAAAAAAAGTGGGGACAAGACATATTCAGAAGGTCCCAGGGTTTGGAGATCTTACTCAGTAAAACTACTCCAAACAATTTGAAAATGCCATGTACATCTCAACCTTACGTAAGAAAAACAGGCTACCAAGAAACAATCCTTACGGATCAGATGACTGTGTTTGACCATTAAATCCGAAAAACATACAAACTCAACAGGTGACCTAAACAATAATACATAAAAAAATTAAATTAAAAATTTTGAAAAAAGAAAAAAGCTCAAAAGCTAGTATGCAAAGTAAGGGGATGAGTGTCACTGGCCTTGGAGAACTCTTACTGACACTGTCATGAGAGGCTGGACAGAGATGTACATACAGCTTCGTTTATAGATGTGAATGGCAGTGTCTCCAAAAAAGAAACTAAATTCCGAGAACAGAAAGAATCAAGTCCCAGTGAGAAGGAGTTTCTCCAATCTGAGCTTGCTCATAATCAGTTGGTCCTTTCTGTAGGATAACATTGATTTGTCCTTTCCGCCTTGCCACAGGGAGCTTAGGTTTATTGGGTTACTCCCTTCACAGTGCTCCCATCCCTGTTTACTTGTAACCTCCTGTGCTCTATTAACTTGTAAATATTTTTCTCTTTTCCTTAAGTCCTTTGCATAGTTAATTCAGAGCAATGTCCTTTTTGTATGGACACAGAAAGACAGTTAAAGGTATGCTTTTGTAACTTGGGAGTTAATTGACTCCAAGATAATATTACCCCTGGGCATCTGTTCTCTTGACTTAAGCCTCAGTTGCCCTTTGTTCCTAGGTCCCCAAAAGCAGGGTACCGAGGAGAGACTGGATAGATCCTGGGAAAGCAGTGAGCTACCCTGGTATCGAAAAGGGTCTTGCCAAAATGCCGTAATTCTTAACTGTAAGTTAAGAGCATGGTCATGGACAAATTCTGTCATGATCCAAAAAGTAATAACTGGATTCGGACTCTGCTAGGATTGGGAATGGGATCCGGCCAGAGCACTGTAGTCTGAGTCTGAGGCAAGAGGTCCCCAGGAGAGCCACCCTCTAAGCTCAATGTAAGAGCTTACTGTGTCCATAACAAAATAACTATTAAGAAGTAGAATTAAGATGTTAATTAAGAAGTTAAGTTATTGGACTAAGGAGAGGAAGAACACCCCTAGGTGGTATTTCAGCCCTTGAACCTGATTGGTGATCAGGAAGGGCTTTTGATACGTTGATTGTGCTACCTGGTGTGGTGTGGTGGCTACCCGCAATGTGGGGAGTTGAAGAGAGAGGAGAGAGACCAGGACAGCAAGATGGAGCACAGAGAGAGGAGCAAGGAGGTCAGAGGGAGAAAAACGTAGGGGAAGAATGCAAAAGCAGGCGCATAGAGAAGCAAGAGACATGGCTGTGAGAGGGAGCGTGGAGAGATAAGTGGGAGACAAGGGGGAGGAATGAGGGGCGTAGTGAGACTGCAACAGGAGCGTGGGGAGAATGGAATAAATGGCAACCCAGCTTGGCCCTCGTTTCCTCTTCGTCTGCTCAGGGCACAGGCTACGAGAGGGAGAGCCGCAGGGGCTTTCCCTAGAGACCCGGAGATTTTACACTTTCCTTTAGGGCTTCTTTTTCTGTAGGATTCATTATATTTAACCCAACCAATATTGGTTCGTATAAGGTCAGAAGATAACAAAGGGATGTGGATAAGGCAAAGTAATTTTATTTGCACAGATTACCTGTTCAAGAGGTACATGATTCACCAGACCACTGACAACTGTCCTCGGGGTCACTTCTCCAACATCTACTTCTTCTACATATAGAGAATCTGCATCAGGGTGCTTCTTGGCAGTGATGATACAACCAATTCGAAGATCCAGACGGGAAACATCTACTGGCTTAGAGTCAGCATTTCCTGCTGCTGGTTGCTGTTTTTTTTCCTTTTTCTCTCCTAAAAATATTTATAAATGAGTAAATATGGAGATAAAATTAAAATAAAAATATACTATAAAGATACCTCAGAGCATTGATTCTCATTAGCTTAGAAGAATTTGTCTTCCTTCATTGAAGTTTAAAAAAATAGAGAAAGAAAGAATTGTCCTAGCCAAACATTTTGAGCCCTATTTTAGCTATTGTTTTTTCTGTTGAATAGCTATCTCGATTTCTAGTTGAAGACTGAACAGAAGGGACCAAGCGTGTGTCATGGGCCAAATTCAATCCACCGCTTTTCTCCCAAAGTATCCTCAGAGCCTAGCCAGTCTACCTAGTTATGGATTCCCCATGGTTTGTTGGCACTACAGCAGCGTTGTGCAGTTTTGCTCAATACTTTAGGGCATCCAAAGCCTAACACAGTAACAGAGTGACACTTTACAGATCTGCCCTTCCCTAAACATCCTAATTTTTACCTTCCATTCATTTTTAATCTACACATTACAATTTGAACTTTGATTTCTATACCACTATTACAAAAGAAAATGCTGACATTATATGATAATCCAGTTAGGAGTCAAATAAACCATCAGGTTATAAATACCTTTCTTTTCAGTTTTCTCTTTCACCTTTTTTTCTTCTCCTCTCCCCCCTTCCTTTATCTGTTCTTTAGGACCAGGCGGCATGGCTGTCACTGAGACAGACTGAATCCTCTTTTCAGAAACTGTACCATTACTTTGCAGTGGAGTACCAGATGGAAATGGTATTTGTTTCACTAAAAAAAAAAAAAAAAAAAAAAAAAAAAAGACAATGACACTTTATTAAACTAGGATGAAAACTATAGATCTATTGTAAATGTACATTTGTCAAAACAGAATTCACAACAGAATTCACTATAGTTGATAGTCTACTAGATTATAAAAAGGCTACCAAGAAAATAATAATCACAATAAAATAAAGGATTCTTATTAATCAATAATGTCTAATGTGACAAAATTCCCTCTCAAGAGCCCAGCAAGCTACCGAGAGTATCTCACCCGCACAGCAAAGCCTGGCAAGCTATCCGTGACACATTCGCTATGCCAAACACAGTTACAACAAGTCTTACAATGGAGACGTTACTGGGACCACTCGAGCAAATGGATTAACAATGAAAGGACAGTGCTACAGTGACAAAATTACAGTAAACAATAATGGCTAATATCTATGATACAGAGCCTTACATACTGTTCAAAATGCTATATATGAACTAATAAATGCACTAAGAAATAAGTTCTTTTCACAGTCCCACTTATGTAAAATTTAAAATAGTAGCTCATCACACAGATGGTGAGTAGTAGAATAAGAATTTACACTCAAGCAGTCTGCCTGTAAAGACCATTCTCTCATGGTTTGGTGTGTTTTAGTAATTACTCACTTAGACTTTCATTACTGAACAATCAAGTGGGAAAGCATTTTTGTTCTTTTCAAAGAGGAGTTATTTCTACTCAGAATTAACAGAGACACAACATTAATGACCCACAATTCTACATCAAAGGGACAAAACAGTGGGGAGAATCAGAAACCGTTGGTCTAGGCCCAGGAGACAGGAGCAGGGTTCGGGCTATGTTCAGCATTACTGGCCCTCGGAGGACCATCAGAAACTACCCAGGGTCCCCGGGGCCTAGAGCAGCTCCAAGCCAGCAGCAATTCCTGGCACTGAAGGTCCCAAGCAGCGCAAGAGCCACAGGGCCAAGCACTCAACTGCTGACCCGGTGGGCCAAGTCCTGCCAGGAGTGGCTCCTGGGTCCCCCGTCCTCCCCAACAACAAAATCACCCTCTCACATTCAGTGAGCAGATCTCTGTCCTGCTGCAGAGATCATGAATATGGGACTATACAACCTTGTGAAAGATACTGATTTGAGCTAGGATTAAATTTGGCTTAGATTTTAGCCAATACTCCAACTACTCTGCTAAGGCTTATTTTTAAGTTCTCCAGAGATTAATGCTTCTTTTAGTAATGTGAAGGCCTATCTTCCCCATTCTATGTTTCTTCATTAGACATACAGAATTCAACACATCAATTCCGTTCATTGGTTTATTTTAGCCTTTCATTAATAAGATCAGAATGTAAGAGTTTAATGTCTAAAAGGCAATCCTCAAGAGCTGTGACAAATAAAAAGCAGTTTTATAGTATTGATATTTTAACTGGTTGTTTAACTCTGTATCTGATTCCAAATTTCATAGTTTTACAAATATCAATTAGTTTCAAATTTTCCAGTCACAACATTTTCTGCTCTTAAGTTTTCAATTTACCTATTATCGGTCCTTACTTTTACTTATTTAAGAATAGACTCGTACTGGAGCATTCCAAATAACTCACTGACAGAACAAAAACAGAGGCCTTTACTATACTTGAGCCATCTTAACTCATCCACAGAGATTTTCTACAATGAATGATCAGAGGCATTCCTGTGTGGTATGCTGCAATCACAGATATGCTACTACTATTATTTTATGGTCTCAGTTAATCTAGATTAAAAAGTCCATAATTAAAGTCTTATGTAATAGTTGAACGATAATAATTACAGACAATGAACACAATTTTGAATAAATTAGGATAAACCTAAATAAATGTTAACTGAACATTATTATGGCTTTTTTCAATAACTATTCCCTGAAATAAGGGAGCAAAAGCTCAGGATGTCAAGCCTCAGCTTTGCCATACAAGGGGTGACCTGGCCAAGACCATTTTCTGTCTTCACACCTCCCTTCCCACGTGAGTAAAGGAAGGTGAACGCATAATGGCTGCTGAGGGAATGGGAGAAAACTCAAGCATAATACCCAACAATAAACAGTAGAAGAAACTATTTCTCGATATTATCACCTCCATTCTGAATTTCTGCCTGAATCAGCTCCTGTTTCAAATCTTCAATTTCTTTCTTCAATTTGGCATTTTCAACACGAAGTTTCTTCTCTTCTCTCAAAGTCGCTTGTAAAACTAGAACCAAAAGAATCCAACTGAGACACAACTGTCTCTTAAAAAGCTCCTTATCAATAGTCACAATAAACATGTACAGGATAACGTTTTACTAGGTCTTCTATATCTATTTAGTATTTATTAAAATAACTTGATAGTTAAAAGAGAAAAGGGGGAAAAACAGTGAAATAATGGAAAAGGCTTTGTGAGTCATTTTCCATCTTCCATCATTATAGTTATAATAAAGGGCAATGACAATTTAGAAGCTAGATTCAAAATATTACTGGTAAATAAACTGTATGACATACAAGGACAAGTTATAAATCTAATAACGAAACCATCTCCATTTCCATTTTTCTAGTTATTAACATAACAGAAACGAAATCTTCCTCTTTTCTTCCTAACACTTGTCAACTTGAGCAGCTCAATCAATTACATAGTGCCTAAGCTTTTCTCCAGATATGTATGTGTTAAACTTTGGTGTGATATGTACATATAAGCAACAGAGTAAATGTTAAAGAAATTCTCAATGGCAACGTACTCCGGGTGCTTTCAAAGTCTATGGGAGCACTTCCGGTTGTCACAAAAGAAAAAAAAAAAAAAACAAGAGCCAACACTGGCATTACTAGGCAGGGTTGACACTGGATACTCCTGCAGAACGAAGAGGCGCCTCATGTCGGTCGACTTTGCTGCCACCAACTGTATATCTGCACAGGTGTAGTACTGCAATTATTCCTGCTTTTGTCTTACTTTATAAACATATAAACATACAGTATTCTTAGTTATTTTCTTCCCTTTTTTGGACTACAACCAGAGTGCTCAGGGCTTACTTCTGATGGCTTGGAGGACCCTGTGTGGTGTCAGGGATCAAACCTGGGTGACCAATACACAAGAAAGGTACCTGACCTGCTGTACTATCTTTCTAGCCCCAGACATATTCTTAAACATTTTTTAAAAATCATATTTTAAATTTTCTAGACATAACTTAGTCTGCACAAACTCTGACCTAAGGAGTCATCCATTATCCTGAGGCCCCAGGGCAGCGTGCTGGTAGAGTGCATGTATTCCAAGTCAATAAAACATGACTCACACAGCTGCTGGGGTCTACACTGTTGACACAAAGGCAGACGACACGCCTTCCTGCCACAACACCTCTTGCACTCTTGAAGACTCCATGAACGTGAGCCATGGAACATCGACTGCTAACATATGCCAAGCAGTTCTGCTGAGTGTCTTCTTAGTTTTCCTCTGCATTACTCAGAGGATTGTATATAAGTACTTTGGAACTAAATATAAAGGTAGGTTATTTTAAAGAAATATTTTCTCTCAAGACAGTAGAAAGTTTTATGAAATAGTGATTAAAAAAAAGGACAATGAAACCACAAATCACCAGGATAAATCATCAACAAATTTAAATGACAAAGGTGAAGAATAAGGATTCAAGAGCGTCGTTATTTTAATTTGGTGAGATTCTGTTTCTTTTTGGCCATACTTGGAAGGAAATATTCCTGGCAGTGCTCTGGGAACTATATGGGTACCTCGAATTGAACCTCAGTCGGCTATGTGCAAGGAAGTGCCTACCCTAAGTATTATATCTCGGGCCCCTACTTTAATTTATTAATTAGAAAATTGAAATGCTGGTCAAGATGGTAAAAAAAAATCCTGGTGAAAAACAGACAGAAATCAGTTTATAACATATCATATCACAAAGAAGCAACTGATGATCAGGATCTCTTAAATTTACCAATGGAAAGAAATTAAGTGTTTTTTCAAAAATCAAATGAGCCAAAGAGTTAGTACTTGGGCTATAGTGTTTGTCTACCATGCAGCTGACCAGGTTCAATCTTGGCTACTATAGCGCCAGCAGTGATACCTAAGCGCAGAGCTAAGAGTCAAGCCTGAGCACTACTGGATGTGACCCACCAAAAAACAAAAACAGAGGAGCCCTCTGAGAGACAGTCAGGAGTCACGGCTCTCGCCTCCCACGCAGTTGGCCCCAGTGCAATCCCTGGTATCACAGGGTCCTGCAGATGCTGCCAGGTAGCCAGGGTGACCCCCGCACAGCGGGGTTCTTGCAGCACTTGAATCCTTGAGTCCTCACATGGAACCTGCAGCCATGTTGGCTGGCCAAAAATTTCTGGGAACAGCTCCTGAGACCAAGTATGACTGTGAGCACCCTACAAATCAATCAGAATTTTCATAGCAGAAACTCAAATGTTTTTTGACTACATCAGAGTAATTTCTATATACAGAGTGAAAAATTTAAAATTCATTTCAGAAAATGCCTTAGTAAATTTAGTACTGGAGCAATAGCACAGCGGTAGGGCATTTGCCTTGCAAGCAGCCAACATGGCCGACTGGAGTTCGATTCCTCCGCCCCTCTCGGAGAGCCCGGCAAGCTACTGAGAGTATCTCACCCGCACGGCACAGCCTGGCAAGCTACCCGTGATGTATTAGATATGCCAAAACACAGTAACAACAACGTCTCCAATGGAGACGTTACTGGGCCCGCTCGAGCAAATTGATGAACAATGGGAGGACCATGACCGCAACCATGACCGTGACAAAATTTAGTACTAAAGTAAAATCCTTTTCTATACAACCTTGGTAGAGGAGATGAGTTTAAATATGACTCACCCAATTTTTGCAATTTCTAATTTAATTCTATACCAATTTACTTTAAACATCTTCCTTCAGCAGTCTTAAACTGATACTTTTTCTCTACGTAGTCACTGCAAACTAATTCTAATTTTTCTTAATCACAGTTATTTCAAAAACAAGATATTAAAAAAATCTAAATCTGCAATCAAGTAATGACTAATAATTTTTGTGGTAAGCATTTTTTTATTATCAACACATGAATTCATTAATTATATCCGTATGAAATCCTAAATGCCTTACTTGCTTTCTCCTTAAGAAGAGAAACTTGCTGCTTGAGATACTCAATAATCTGATCTGCCTCTGCACCTTTCTGCTCCAGTCTCTTCAGAACAGCATCATTAGTTGCCATTTTCAACAAGAAACGGCAGAAAATCCTAAGTGAGAAAATAAAAGGGATAAATAATACTATAAAAGAAACAAATTTATTGTACAAATCACCAGTAAAGCTCTCTGAAAGGAGAAACATGTTATACCATCACAGAATATATTAGAAAACACTTGTCACAGGTGGAGAAACAAACTGAATAGGTAGAAATCTACGAAGACTACTTGATACCTGTAACCGTTTGGAAGAGGAAATCTATTTTTCCCTGAAGGCAGGAATCATGCCATTCAACCACACTTTAGGGTAGAAAGTTAAAACAACCAAAAAAATTACAATGCAGTTCTGGAGAGGTAGTACAGTGCATAAAGCCACATCAGGTTTGACCCCCTGCACCACATATGGTGCCAGGAACACAACAGCTGGGATTTAGTTCCTGAGCACAGCTGGGTGTGTCCCCAGAACCAAAGCCATGGGAATACTGACTATGTTTTTGCATAATTTGTAGCTTTTACATCTCAGGTCAAAAAAAATCATAATAGTGATATGGATATGAAATTACACTTTAGAAAAAAAATCAGTAAATTTGCAACAGATATGAAAAATACATTAATTGAAAAATAATTTTTACAGATTTCTTAAGCAGGTGCAGAAACTCATCTTGCTGAAAGAACAGGATATTGAATTCAGGTACCGACTTTTACACAAAAACCAATTTTTATATGTAAGCCAAGTTTGGAAGATAGAGATACAAATTGCAGTCCAAGAAAAACGTATTTTAAAAAAATTATCAGCAGCATTTATAAGATGGGGAGGTAGAAAGCTAGGTCTAGAGGACACAAGTATGGTCTATATATATATAGCAAATGTTTTAGCCTGCTCTAAATATTACAAAACTAAATTTGCGAAAGACTATTCCATTGAGATGGCAAATCTATTACCTCTGAGGGTTACAAATATGAATTAAATCAAAAGTCATCTTCTCTTCATTCTTGAAACATGACAGTTCTTTTCTGTCCGGCCTAGATTCATGGGCACTGCAGTCTCCCCACACCGGTCAGGCAGGTTCTGTCAGCTCCTGGGGGCAGACTAGGCTGAGCACTCCCCCCTGACATTCATCAATGTGCTCCCAGTAAGTATCTTAAACTCATAACCCCAATTTTACCTACAGCCCCTGATTATAGTCAGGTTATGAACTTAGAGTAGAAGAAAGGTAAGGGTGCTCTTTATTCTGGGGAAACAAAGTAACCAAGCAATTTTTAAAAGTGGGCTGTGTTCAAGGCCCCTTTCCTTATTACTGGCCTAACACTGCTTAGAGCTGAGACGCATCGTTTACCATCCAGCTCAGTGCTCACTCCAATACCGTCTGCCAACTGCTCCACTCAAAATTGTTGAACAAGTAAAAGCTGAATTTCCAAAATGTTTAGCTTCTTTAGTTTCCTCAGAACTCTTAATATGCTAATATACATATGGTTTCTCATTATTATGAGGATTGAATAACAGGGTAGATAATATCTGGAGAGGCATTATCAGGGACTATCCAACTGCTTTATATAGATCACCTGTGAATACTATAATCATCTCTATAAAGCATAGAGGAAAACTTAAATTAAAGTTAACTCTTCTCAGATCATATGCCCAGTCAGTAAATAAGGACTAAGATATGTCTGATCTAGGAGATATTAAATATCAAAGTTTTACTCATCCAATCTGGAAATAGCTTGAACACCCATCAACCACTAAACAGATAAATAATAGCAATATATCATTCAATGGAGGTACTATTCAGCCTTCAAGAGAAGCAAGCACTGATCTATTTAACAACCGAGAGTATCTCGCCCGCACGGCAGACTCTGGCAAGCTCCCCGTGACGTATTCGATATGCCAAACACAGTAACAACAAAGTCTCCAATGGAGATGTTACTGGGCCCGCTCGAGCAAATCGACGAACAACGGGAGGACAGTGACAGTGACAGATGAACCTTAAAGAGCGCCTTTTTAGTGGGGGCTGAGGAAAGCCACACTTGGGCATGGGGCTCTAGCTGGGGGGTCACTCCCAACTATACTGGGAATAAGGGGGTACTGGGATTGAGATGACTAGAGAGCTCAACAAGCTGGAGTGTATGAGGTTGGCTTCTTAAAGCCAAAAGCAGTAATTTCTCCAAAATACTGAATCAGGAAGTACTTCCGAATACCAGCCAAGGAACCCCTGGCAGTTCTTCAAACTCTGATTCTCTGAAAGGTATGAAAGTGTGCATTTAGAAAATGCAGTAATCTTATTGAGACAGACTACAGAACAACTGCACACAAAGCAATCACAAATATAACATTGTGCAAGGAAAAAAAAAAGCAGTACTCTGGGCATGTTTCTGATGTTTAGATGGTGAGAAAATCAATTCCTTGACTTTTTTTGGGGGAGTGGGGGGTAGGAGCCTCCCTAACAGTGAGGGCAGGGGGTTACTCCCCAGGGTACTCAGCCTTAAGGAAAGGACGGCTCAATGGCAATGAGATTGGGCCCCACCTGTCTGGGAGTTATCAGGGCCACTTCTCCTCCCCCTTTACTAATTAAAATAATTATGAACATTTCAGATAAAAGATTTCTGGAAAAGCATGGTCTAAATTATTCTGCCTTTATACTTTGTTCTTCTTAATACCTCATTATCATATTTCATCAACCCCTACCTCAAATCGTAGTCAGGTGAAGATGATCTTATCAAATAAATGAACTTAGACTACATCTAATAACTAAAACATATACTTCAGAGGACCTGTAATTAACTTTAGATAAAGACTTCCTGTTCCAGTGCTCAATGTTAAAATCAAATAAAAACAAATCTATCGCTTTGGAATGAAAATTTTCGGTGTCACCAATTACAAAATGACTCCAGTCACAAGATGCTCTGTATTTTACATACCGCGAAAGAAAAGACAAACCAAACAACAACTTAGGGGGTGGGGTGCTCTCTCGGTGGTCGGGGGCAACTGCCTCGCATGCACAGGCCCCCAGCCCTGCTGCTGCACCACTGGGCGTGGCTAGGGGGCCCAGCAGAGCAGCGCACAGGGCAGTGGCCCGTCCCCCCCACCCCCTCCGACTCTGAGCACTGCTGGGCCTTATTAAACAAGCTGACCCGGCGAGCTGAAGATCATGGGGCGTTGTACCTGAGCCCAGCGTGAGGGACACCACCGCCACCCCAACACCACACCTATCGAACCAACGCAACAGGCGTAAGCAGTCACACCCATATTACCACCGAGCAGACGGTCTCCTGACATTTAGTCACTCTAAAAAATACGTAGGTTTGGGGGGTTTGTAGCTGTTCCGGGGCCACATCCAGTAGAGCTGGGGTTACTCCTGACCCTGTGCTCAGGGGACAGACTCTAGCCTCCTGCGTGCAAACCCAAGCACTAGGCCTCTTGGGCGCTTTCCTGCTCCAACAGGGTTTTTTTTTTTTTTTCATGTTTGTTTTTAACCTTACCCCAGGCCTTTATCTGAGTTTCTGAGTTTCTACACAGTAACTTTTCACTCTAGTGTCAGGTCGTTCCTAAAGGATATTGAAAATGAAAAATTAAACTCCACAAACAGCACTGCAAACTCTGCGGCTGGCTGAACATGTATGCCACGTTCAAGGCAAAACCCGCAGCTTCCCACTGCTCTTACCACCCGATCGGGCCCCTCCGACCCACTCCCTGCGGTGGGGCTGGTTTCAACTCTGCACCCGCACCCACGGCGCTCCTCCTCCCGCTTCCTACCCCAGGCCACACAACTCCCGCGGGCACCCCGACTTCAACAGGGAAAGCACAGGACACGCTCGGCCACGGACCTGGGGACACTGCTGGATGCGCAAAAGTCCCACGGAATAAGCTCAGAGAAACCCAAATTAGCTCAAATCAGCTCCTCGGCGCTCTAAGCTCAAATAAGCTCCGAGGGCCGTGCAAAGACCCCAGGACGCGGCCACGCGTTTAACCTGGGATGGTCAACTCCAGCTGGCCACCCGGCGTGGGCAGGCCCCGGCGGGCCTGCACCGCAGCCCCCTGCCCGGGCCGATCGCGCCCCCCGCCCCCACCCGGGGCGCCCGAGCCCCCCCGGGACTGCGAGAGCCCCTGCCAGGGCCCTGCTGGTCGGGGCCCAGCCCTGCACGCCCGGGCACACCCGCAGGCCTCGCCCCGCGCCCCTAGCGCGCCGGGAGGGGCGCATGAGCACGCCCCCACTCTGCCCCGGGACCCTCCTCGAGCGCCACTCACATGGGGCGAGGGGCACCACAGCCGCGGACAGCCTCCGCCGGCGCAATGGCCTCCCGCGCGCCGCGCCGCGAGCAAGGACCCCGCCGGGTTGTCCCCGCAGAACGCCTGAGCCTATCACAGTTTCCACGCCTCCCCCTCCCCCTCTGCTTTCGCCCCGTTTTCCGTGAGCACCCACGTCACACTCCCTGCCTGCCAACTCCTCGAAGAGTCGCGCCGCCACGCAGCCTCTCCGCTGAGCTCGCCGCCCGGTCCCCGCCGCGCTGGGCGCCGGGCTGGACGGCCCCCGGCGGGGGCTTTCCTCCGGCCGCGTCGCGGAGCTGTGACGTCAGAGGAAGAGGCCCGGCTGATTGGACCGCTGGGAAGGAGCCGAGAACTGTCAGAGCCGCGAGCCGGGCGCGCGCTCCCGGCCGGGTTCCGAGCTGCGAGTCTCAGCTCCTGCTGCACCAGGCTGCGGTGGCCGTAGCAGCCCCGGGGGCCCTGGGTACAGGCTCCGTCCCCTGGCCTTTGTGCCCGCTGCACCCCTAGTCTCAGAGGCAGGTACCGGGGCACCCCAGTTTTCTTTGTCCGATGGGGTGGGGCCGAGGGCGTATGGGGGAGCAGGTGCAGGACCGCTTTCTGCAGAGTTCTGTCCTCCCCCCAGGGCAGCACGCCCCCGCTCCCGAGAATCGCTCACGCGGGTCCTTTGCAGACTGTGGGCAGCCCTTGGCACGTGAGCTCTGCACGGGGCCTGGGTTTCAAGGGGGAGGACCCCCCCCACGCCCCTGCTCGGGACTCTTCTGTGCAGTGATTGCATTCCCTCCCCTCCGCCCCTCTAGTTGGAAAAGCTTTAGTCCGCTGTAAATGAATTGTAAACTTTCCCTGGTGCAGTGGGAGAAAAGGAAGCCTCGACTTCCCGGTCTCACATGCTGGGGGAAAAAGGCAGTTGGGATGGAGAAGGGACCACTAAGTGAATGATGCTTGGAGGGCTCCCTAGGGGTGGAGATGTGTGCTGAGAATAGACTGTAGACCAAATGTGATGGCCACTTAGTACCTGTATTGCAAACCATAACACGCAAAAGAAGAGAGAGAGAAAGAGGGAATGTGCCTGCCACAGAGGCAGGGAGAATGGGGAGAGATGCTGAGACCATTGGTGGTGGAGAATGGGCACTGGTGGAGGGATGGGCACTCGATCATTGTATGAATGAACCGTAATCACGAAAGTTTGTAAGTCTGTAACTGTACCTCTTGGGGATCCATTAAAAAATATTAAAAAAGAAAAAAGAAAAGTCACTTTAAAATTGTCAGGGGTTGCTTTTCATAGGCCTCATGTCCTTGATTTTATTTGTGACAGTTGTTAAGGGGAAGCATATAAAGTAAGTGGGAAGCATATAAAGTTAAAAGTATTTATTATTATTATCCTCTGGGGGGGATGTGTAAAAGGCTTTATTCATGATTCACTGAGCATCTTTTGCCCTTTCCCTACTCCCCCACCCCGCCCCCAACACCTATTTAAGCTTTTGAACCACAAATTCTTTGCGGACAGAAAGTGTTGTTTTGTTTTTCTCAGCTCTTCCCCACCAGCTGAGAAACACCAAACAAAACACACAAGAGTTTCAAAATATCTGTTGAATGACTTTTCGGACCCAGCTGGTAGCTTTCATGAGTTTCCCGCCCAGTCTCTCCCCTCAGCTGTTTTAACCCATTGGCTTCTCTACCACCCAACCAATGTGTGTGTAACTTTTATGTGTGAGCCAGTGAAACAGTAAGCAGGTAAGCACCTGCCTTGCATGCAGCTGGTCCTTTTTTGATTCCTGGTACCCCATGTGGCCTCTGGAGCTCGGCAGGAGTATCCTTGAGTACAGAGCCAGGAGTTAGTGCTGAGCACTGCCAGATATTGTCCCCAAGCAAAAAAACTATATGCCTATCCTATGTAGATTTATCTCCGAAATGTTTTTTTTAAATTTAATGAAATTTGGCATAAAATTTGTATGACTTTTTTAGCCTATCAACATTATTATTATTATTTTCTTGGTGTGTGTGTGGGGTGGGAGGGCACACCTAGTGTTACTTAGGGCTTACTCCTGGCTCTGCAATCAAGGATCACTCCTGGCAGTCTTGGGGGACCCTATGGAATTGAACCCAGGTCAGCTGTGTGCAAGGCAAATGCCCTGCCCGCTGTGCTATGGCTCCAGCCACTCAATATTCTATTTCTAATAAGCACAGTCAGGGCATATGGCCCAGCTGTAGACCACTCGCCTCGCAAGGGTGAGGCCCGGGTTCTCTGACTGCTGCACACCATCCCCTGTGCCTCCCAAGTAAGAAGCATTTGTGCCATAGCACAGGCTATGTATCCTGATTGTTTTCTGTTTATTCTGTCTAATTTTTTAGCCACTCACTCATCTCTGGACATTTCAGTTGTTTCCAGTTTGCTGATATTAGGAACAAATATCATTGTGTTGGTCCTCCTGGTGTCTGTGTGAGAGTATCTGCAGGAATGGGGTGGCACAATTGTGCCAGATAAGTCTTCAAAGTGATTTGCCAGTTTACGTTTCCACTTACTGTAAAGGGAAAGATCTGTTTTTTCTGTACCTCCTAACACATGCTGTCAGGTTTCTAAATTTTTATTATGTGGTGACTAAATCCTCATGTGGTTTTAATGAACAGTCCCTTGGTTTTTAATAGAATTAATAACCTTCACATTTATATATATACAAACACATATATAACTGATTCCTATGTACTCTTTTGTGAAATGTATTTTTTCACAGCCTTTGTTTTTTTTTAAAAAATGGGATGTGATATAGATTTTTTTTTCTTTTTGGGTCATACCCAGCAATGCACAGGGGTTACTCCTGGCTCTGCACTCAGAAATTACTCCTGGCAGTGCTCAGGGGACCATATGGGATGCTGGGAATTGAACCCAGGTCGGCCGCGTGCAAGGCAAACGCCCTACCCGCTGTGCTATCGCTCCAGCCCCTGTGATATAGATTTTTTAATGTTTTTAAATGAGGTAGAGTTTGTTTTGTTTTTATAAATTATTTTGACTCACTTGCTCTGAAGCCAGTTTCTCACTCTCCAGGCGCTGTGTTCCGTGCCTCTGGATTCCACGTGGAAAGATCTGGCCCCTTGGAATCCGCACAGTAATATCTGCCTCTCAGTCTATTTGTCAGTCTGGAAACTGGAGTCAGCAGCAGCTGTCAGGGCTATAAAACACATCACATGTTAATAATCTGGCATGCAGCAACAGCAAAAAAAAAAAATGATACTATTGCAGCACCTTCTAGTAGCTAGTTTAAATTTCAACTTTGCTTTTGAGAGACTCCACCCCCTTTTAAGTTTCTGCTTAGTATCTATGTATCTTTCCTGACTCTGTGAAAAGTTATTAGAGGCCTGTGGGTTAGTTAAGCTTTAGATGAAGAGCAGAGATGTGAATAGAAATAGCAGAAATTCCTGTGATCTCTTAGAGGAATTCCCTGTCATTGAAGGAATAGATGCTTTCATGTGATTAAATCATTCTAGTTTAGAACTGCAATATGGTTGTATGATCATGACTTGTTTTGAGTTAACACCTCGCTATTAATTTGGTATTTTTTTATGTAATTTTTTTAACTGTTCGATCGGCATTTTCTTTTAACTGTTAGAGTGACATTTTCTTCTTATAAGAAAATACTTCCTGAATGCTGTGTTGATTTTCTTTCCCCAGGTTGTCTTGGCTGGGCTGGTGCTAAGCATGTTTCCCCTGAAGGATGCAGAGATGGGAGCCTTCACCTTCTTTGCCTCGGCTCTACCACATGATGTTTGTGGAAGCAATGGGCTTCCGCTCACACCCAATTCTATCAAAATTTTAGGGCGCTTTCAAATTCTGAAAACTATTACCCATCCCAGACTGTGTCAATATGTGGACATTTCCAGAGGAAAGCATGGTGAGTTGCTTCTCTCTTATTTTGTGGTTTCAACTGTGAGCATATTATAAATACACAAGAAATGAATTGTTAGTATGTGCTCTTGCCATGTGTGTGCATGCATCTACATGCATATACCCACACAGTCATGCTTTCATACTTGACCTTTTACTTATGTCTGGGTCTACCAGGTGAAATCCAAACTTCTAACCAGGAAGTTCAAACAAGATCCTTCGTGATCCAGGCCCTCCTTTCCTGTTGAGGTGTATTTCTTAGTATCTCTACCCCTTCAGCTTTCAGTCCAACCACACTGAGTCCCTTGAGTTTTGTGACTGTAACTGCTCGTCTGACTGTAACTGAAACAACAGCAACAATAGAACTTGACTATTTTCTCTCTTCAGGCAGAATGGGGATGCCCGTTCCCTACAATCTCAGCTAATTTCCTCTCCTAGATTCTTTTCGTAGTTTTTAAATCATGTTTTATTCTTATTTTCCATTTTGTTTGTTTCTTCTGAGGATTCTCAGTTCTGAAGGCGTGGGGCTAAATGACTTGCGCCTCTTACCTCATTAGCGACAGCTTCACCGAGGTCTTAGGATTCAGTTACCAAAATGTTGAATGAATGTCCTGGTGATCAGACCGTCATGCCTGAGTGATTGATGTCTCCAGGCCTGAAGATCAGGACTTTTTGTGTTAGGGAAACCACCTAATCCTAAACACATTTTGTTACCTCCGTGAGAAGAAAATGAAGCTGGTGATGTTAGAAACTTGAGGATAGTTTACTGCGACGTGCTTTATGTCTGAAAGTAATAGATTAAAACTGAATAAAGAAAGAGTTATTACATAGTTGGTTTTGTTGTTTGGTTGTGGGGGGGAGGATTTCCTCCTCGGGTGTCCAGGGGCCACTCCTGGCATTACTCAGCCTGGCTGCGAAGCTTGATGGTTGGTGCTTGGGCCTGGTAATGCAGTGCTGCCTGGCCTGCTCTGCCGGGGAATAGAACTGTGATTGCCTCACCGAGGCTTGTGTTCAACCCTTTGTGCTGTCTATAATCCCTATTTCTTGGGGGGGTTCGACTGAGAGCTATATTAATCTTTCCTTACGGGGTTCCAGCACCTGTCAGACAGAACAGTCCAGCACCGCACTCTCCACCATGCCCATGCCCCTTCACCGCGGTCCCATCCCCTGCTGTGGTGTGCTTTCTCTTAGCCACCAGTTCTCAGTTTCTCCTGCCTTTGGGCATTTGTTATTTTCTTCCTTTGTTTCTTTATATCCCACCCAGGAGGGAGACCATTCCATGGCTGTCTCTCTTTCTGGCTGACTTGACTGAGCAGGGTACTCTCCACATCATGTGAGATTTTGTGTGTTGTGTTTTGTCGTAACTGTCGTTCACTGCCCAGCCTTTACAGACACTTGCCTGGCCTTATGGTCCTCCATCTGCAAGGTAAGGAGACAGGATTCCAGTTCTCAAATAAGCTCAAGAAGCAGCAGAGAAGCAAAAGTCAAGCACCATTACACTACAGTGACTATTACTGTAATAGGTAATGTCACATGCTATTTTTGTTTAAATACAAAGGAGGAAACGACCAACTCTTTACAGAAGAGTGCTATTGCTCAAACCCCTGTACAGAAATTTGTGTGAGGTAAGGGACACTTGAAAGCAGATGGTGGTCATGTCCAGTTAATGACACTGGTGACCTAAAAGGACTGATGGATTTTCAAAAGATATACTGGCTTTTACTAGTGATATATTCCAAAGAAGCCAAATCTTAATATATTCTTAAGCATCTGTGTTTTGTGGGTCCGTAAGCTGTGCTCAGGGCGTATTCCTGGCTCTGTGATGCTCAGAAAACACTCCTGGTTGGCTCAGGGGACCAAATGTGGTACAGAGATCAAATTCAGGTTGGGTGCCTGCAGTCTAGTGCCTCCCTCACTATACCTGAAAGATTTCAGGCCCAACACGTGTGTATTTTTAAAGGAGTGTGCATTTCTGAATTAAAAAAATGTTTGAGAGTAGTTATCAACATACATACATAGTACAACAAAGAAAAAATATAATTCAGAGAGGAGGGAGAAAAGAATAAAATAGAAAGTTATTAATATCCGCATGGTTTTCATGTTACATTATAGTTAACATAGCATGCTTACAATAGTACATATTTCCGTTTGGTAGAGGATTATGCCCCCTTCTCCACCACCAGAGTGCACCCTATGTTGTTTTCGTCAACATATTTTACGGACTCTGGTTTAATGCCAAGTTATTTAATCCCTCTTGAATTAACTGTTGTGCATGTTGTGAGATAAGGACCCAGCTTCATTCTTTGGCAAGAGACTGGCCAATTTCCTCCCCTCACTAAGAGACTGGCCTGCTTTACTTCAGTGACTTCACACTTAAACGTGTGTGGAGATTTCGCTTGCAGGCTTTCACTGTTACTGTATATTTGTTTTGTATTCTAGTAAGATACTGTTTTTATTACTATAGCTTTAGATTATATTTTGAAGTTGAGTAGTTAATCTAATTTCTTCATTTAGAGTATAAATTTATTTGTAAACGTCTTTCAGTTGAGGGAAAGATCAAGTCCATCTGCTTCAAATTATGGTTTATAATGAAGTGAAATATTAAGAATTAACTTTGACAGGCTTACCAAAAATCTGGAAAGATAATCAGTTGTAAGATTTATAATGTTCACACAATCTACTCATCCAGTGAAGTACAGAGACATTAGACCTAAGCCCTTTTGTCTGGGGGGAGCTAAGATCTCTGGCATGTGTTGTTGCGGGCAGTACACTTGACACATCTGGCAAGTAAGTTTGCTTTATATCTGTATCGTGTGTTGGTCTTTGAGCTGTGAAATCTCTGTGGCTTGTTGGATGAACATCTGAGGAAACGAAATTTGACAGTTAAAATAGCAGCTATTAACACCAGAGCCATCAGGCCTATGACTGGGCATCAGGAGTTCTGTGAATCTCTTGCAGTCGTAAAAGCATGGATGCACACATGTACATGTGTGCATGCACACACACACACACACACACACACACACACACACACAAACACAAACACACATTCTTGCATTTTCTGGACAATGACTCTAATTTACATCAGATTCTTTAAAAGTGTTCCTTATATTAAAATAGCATTTATAGTAAAATGGGAAGGGCTCTTACCTTGCATGCAACTGACATGGGTTCAATCCCTGTCGCCTCAGATGGTCCCCTGAAGACTGCCAGGAGTGACCCTGAGCACAGAGCCAGGAGTTATCCCTGAGCATCATCAGATGTGGCCCCAACAGAAAATGAGAAGGATAATCAATAGCATTTAAAAGCATGTAATTAAGAGCCATGTGAGAGAATTTTAGCTTTTTATTTAAAAATAAAATTGAGAAGTTCAGTGTAGAATCACAGATCTTCTAAAATTGACTTGGCCTGTACCTATCTATATATTTATAAGGCCTATCATATTTCACAACCTTAAATTCACTGCCTTAGCACCACAATACAGAATTTTTTCAATTTATATGCTACAGAGAAAGGAGTATATTAACTGCAGCCTGGAGTTGGATCCGCTAATTCATTCTGGAATAAGGAGGCATTTTCTAATCTTTTTAAGAGAACTATGTTAACTAGAGATAACTGTAGCCACAAATGAATTAATAGATCAAATCATTTGCCAGAAGTCTAGAAAGTAACTGTCAAAAAAATTTGGTGGTATTTAAAAATATTTTAAGACAAAATTTTTGCTCTAATTTATCATTTAATATGTAGTTTTAATGATGTTAACCAGGTGTTTTAAAATCCTATCATATTTGGGGGCTTTTTAGTCACCCAATCATTATAGACATTGTCAGTCTCAGGAGCATCAAATGTTCTCCCCCCACCCTGCCCCCTGTAATTCTATCACAAATTCTAAAGAATTTCCCATTTTCAGGTTGATCCTATTCTAAAACCAGTACAAGCAAAGCATGGCAATTCCATTAGTTCTCATTACCATCCATAGCCAGAGGCCATCATTGGTCCTGCTATCTTAGCTCTGTAGATTTGGAGTGTGCCTGTCTTCCCAAACTGACCACTCCACTGAGTTCTTAGAACATCTTCATCCTTTACCCAACAGTACCCTTTATTTCTCTCAGTATTATGTCTAGGAGCCTAGTCCCTTCATATGATGGGGCTTCTAGCCAGTGCCCACTATGGGTAGGTTTTCCTTCTTCTTTTGTTTTGGGGCCACACACACACACACACACACACACACACACACACACACACACGTATATATAACTAGATGTGATGCCAAAGACGGAGCCCAGGCAGACGTGTGCAAAGCAAGCACCTTACCTGCTGAACTACCTCTCCAACCCCTAGTATTGGAAGGGGGAGGAGTGGGTTGTGTGTGTGTGTATGTGTGTTGGTGGGGGCGGGTGTAATTGTTCCAATCATCCTAGATGTTTCTTGAGCTCTTTGTTTTCCTTCTACCCAAATGAGTCCAAGTGAACACAGATCCAGGTAAAATCTTGTGGCATAACCCCTCCGTAGAATAGTATTGCTGGGGCCAGAGTGATACCGCAGCTGGTAGGGTCCTATCACGAGGCCAGGCGGTTTTGATTTCGGCACCACACATGACCAGGAGGGTTTTCCACCTGCCCTGCCATCCTTGGGTTCTCTGCAGCTGCTACCCCTGTGCTGTGGTGCTCAGAAGCTCTCAGCTGGGCAGCGGGGATCACAGTCATCTGCAACATCCAGAGACTTCCAGTTTGGACGCCTGAAGTGAAAGAAATATCAATGGTTGTCAAAGGGCTAGCTAGGGAATTTGATGATCTTATTTATGTTGGCTCTGCGCCTCATCTGGCAGAATTCAAATAAGTACTGATGTGCTGGTTGGTTTGTTCCAGATCATGTAAGTCATTGCAGTTATATCTAGTTTGGAAAGTCTAAGAGGTTTCCACTCCACTGTTTCCCCAGTGGATACACACTTCTCGGGGATGTGATGCTCCATGAGCTTGGTCTGGACGCCACTTAATAATTCGGTTC